GATGAGACAACACACATATTCAGTAATGGGTTTCTTAATATGAGTGAATGGATCGAAAAAAGAATACTTTGACTCATAGGTACTAGCATTTTCACCCGCTGCCATGAAGCTTCCATACTAAGGAGAAACTAAATGATTGATAATATAGAAATAATTCATACAATACCTTACAAGACGAAATTACATCAAAATGATCATATCTGCATGGTTTTTACAATTTGTTTATTGTTGTTCTATACTAATTGTATGCTGAGCTTTTTCTGTCCTACTGTTCTGTTTCTACAAGATTAATGCATGTGTGTTTACTTAATTTAACTCTGGAGAAAACTCCCTCAGCTCAAATAACATCTGCCACCCGTTCTTTGCAATTCACCCAGATCCCCTTGAAGTGAGTCATCCCTCTAAAGCCCAGGAAGCCAAATGCTTCCGTTTTTTTTTCCAAGTTACAAAAATAATATTTATCCATCTATCCATTGTCTGGGCTGCTTATTCCAAGTAACGTGGCAGGGGAGTAGGGCTTAAGCCTATGCCGGCTGTCATTGTGCGAGACATGAGGAAGACCCTGGACAGATCGCTGATGAAAAGCCACAGGAGTTCAACTGAAAATTTATGTTTCTACAATGTCAGGGAATAATACAGTGAAATTCTTTCCAGGTATCTCTGTCTTTGCCATTCTCCATGTCATCATCCCACCACCTGCAAACATGCATGCGGCTGGATCAAACACTGGTAAAAGGCAATGTCGCCAGTAATGTACTGAGGCCAACTTCCCAGTCTGTGGTTGAATTTCTCCCTGTTTGCTTCTAATCTGACCTTTGTTGATTCTTTATACCCACGGATATGTGATTCGTTGATTTTAGGCACTGATTAAACAAAAACATGACTTCCTAGTGAATTTGAATGGGAATAATCGAGGCTACGCTAAATATGCATATTGAGCTAAACTCTAGTCTTGTGTCATCTGCCCAGTAGGTTTGTGACTTGTGTAACCTTTGCACAGATTTAGCAGTGCAGCTTGCTGTTGAGCCATTAACCTTTTCGGGACATACTAGACACACTGTTACCTTGATTGGCTTTGCTCTTTGGTTCTTAGATCGCCCACTCTCCCTTCTGGTGTGACGAGGTTGTGGTGACTAAACAGCTCTTCCACATAGAGAGAACGCTGCATTTGCTCCTGCTTTGCTTTCGGCCTGTACTGTGGAGGCCTGCAGGCGCCCTGCTGAAGGACTCTTTCCCAGGGGTGCACAACATATTGATAGTCAATATCACCTGAATAGTTCTCGTATGTTGCCAGTTGATCATAGAGGATGTCAGAATGTTCGAGCAAACTCCATGACGTTCAGCACGTACTAAGTGGTTCTTGATCTCAGACCACATATAGCAATAGAGAGGGTACACAGCTTTGTTTAGGCACAAGTGGGAGCACTCACTGCTGGTAAAAACAATAAAGCTGTCCACTGCTACAAACAAATGCTGAAAATGATCAGAAGCAATTCTGGTTGGACTCATAATTAAGAAAGTTGCCACAGACAGCTTTTTTTTTTCTTTTAACAGATAACAACAGTGCTTAACCTGTGATGTTTACTCTCAACGAAAGTTACTTCTGCTAACAAACTAAGGAGATCATGTTTAATTTTAGCATTTTAGCTCAAAGAAAATCTGTTATATGAAATAAATATATATTTTTTTCCATATCTAACCATGAAAATTCTTTGATTGGTTTTGGATCAAACGAGCACAAAGAGAGTCTCTGCCAGTTGTCTGCTCTAATTACCTCTCCAGCTGCTTTGATTCCGACTTTGAGTGAACTGAAGTGGCAAGAAAGAGTTGTGCATATTCTTTGTGAGTAACTTTATTTTTCTGTAGATGGAATTAGTGTGGTCAGGAAGTCACAGGAGAACTATTTTGTAGCATCCTGGACATGAGTTTTTGCATGCAGCGTAATGTTTCAAGGGAACTGAGCATCATCATCATCAGCACATAGCTCATTAAAAGGAGATGGAAAACCAGTCCCAGAGAAGTATTAAATATTAACTTGACTGGGACTTGTAGCATCTATCATTTGATGGACACCATAATTAAGATAACGATGCTTAAAAGCATTAGCAGCTCTATTTAAAACTCTGTTGCCCCTCAGCATCTGAGATTTAGGGTATGAAATAGGATTTTTTTTCATTTTTCTATTACATCAATTTGATCTAACTGTGACATGTTTCTTATTTGTCATCAAGGCTTTTTTTTTTGTAGAGAAAGAGCCCTGTTGGAGTCCTTATCATAAACCAAGGCCATAGACTAATTGGACAGTCATGCCTTATTACTCATCTCTTTTTTTTTTCATACGATACACAGACTTCATGAACTTTCAGCTTTATTTGGAAAAACAATCCCAATACCTAATCTAAAGGGAGCATGATCCTTTGTGGGCCATAAACAGGGATGCATATTTAAAAGTGATGATTTTAAGACTGACACAAATCCTTCAAAGGAGCAACTTGACACCATCTTGCATGAAAGGACATCATTACACCAACAGTGTGTAACTGAATGCCAGGTAGATGAATAGTGCTTACAATATTCCACAAGCAGTCTCCTCACAATCAGGGACCCAATCTTGATCAAACAAGGTCATAAAACTTACCTGGTCTTATGAACTTTCATGACACCTTGGTACTGATGCTGACAATTCAAGTTCAAATGTATTTTAATAATACATGTTAAAATCATTCATCCATTCATTTTATTTTCCACTTATTCCAAACGAGGTCGCAGGGAGCTGGAACCTATCCTAGCTGACAATAGTTAAGACACGAACAGATAAATATAAATCAAATTTACCACCAAGATGTCTAAAATGCATCCCAAATTTAACAAAGAGTAAACATGGGTAATTAAATGTGTTCCAGTGTAATGGGCTGGGTACATTAATGCACACAAACTGCTTATAGGGAATTTGTTGTTGACCCAACATTCACAAAATAATCTAGACAACAGGACAAAGATATTATCTAGAGGACAATTTGCCATGAATTATTATTATTTTTTTTAACTGTCTGATAAATAACCATAGCTAGCTTTGTCATATTGCTACTTCTACATATAGACTCCCAGCTTTTAACTGCTCCAGCTACAACCATCTGCTTTTAGGATAACACATTTTCATGGAGAAACCGAAGTCAGTGCCAGTGTAAGAAGTGTTGCTCAAATGAGTTTAATTCAGTTTGGCAAAATTTAAGAAATGAGCACTTTCCACATATTACGGCCATAGATTATGTAGAATTTTATCTTTTTGAAGACAGAAAAAGAATTTCTTAGACTAATTCTTCAGTCTGAAAGTGGGAAGTAAGAACATATGATGGCCTTAGGCACACACTTTCACACAGTGAGATTTACCAAACTATGATGGAAGCGTAATCCAACATATGCGCCTGTACAGCACACATGCAAAATCTATGGCAATTAACCAATCTAACATGCAGCAGGTGTATAGTAAATTAACATGAGGCAAATGAAAACAGCAGCACTTTAAAAGTGGCTATCATACTCATTATTGAGTTGTGGATACAGCACACAGTGATTTTCATTTACACATCCACCACAGTTAGCATGTGGACATCGCCACAGACCATCTGGAGAATAGACTTCAATTTGGGTTTAAATTTCTTGCTTAATGAGGCCTGTTTTAAGCACTTTGGTCCAACTGCACGGTCATACAAACAGAGGCACTAAACAATTATTTCAGCCTATACCTATGTGACACCCACAATAGGGGGGAAACGGAATAGCTGAAAATCTAAACTGAGCTTTCTGAAGGCATTATGCTTCATGATGAAGCTAATAATACACATTTTGTCAGGTAGGGATAATGAGGATAATAGAATAAACATGACCCGTTTATGTGGAGACACAGAAGTAGATTTAGTGGCAATCACTTAGAACTAAGGCGGGAAGAAACCTGGTGCATTAAACATTTCCTCTACTGTGATCCACCCGAAAACAATTTCTCGCCTGAGTAACTGTACATGCTCGTTCCGCAATCTGATTAAAGTGACTCTCAATCAGGCGAGAGATGTGAGGGTATCTGTATGTTCAAAATACTCTCACCGTTTCAATTTCTTTTCCTTCAAACTATCCATTCACACAGTTTAAAGGCTCTCATCTGTAATAGTAACTGTAAGATTGATTTCTACACATAGGGAGGTTAATGGCCTTCGTTTATTAGATTATGTTTGTTCTGGAAAGATGACACTTAGAGAAGAAGAGGCTTTTCTGTGCCCCAAAAGTTTTCACAAATACGAAATGTTTTTAAAAAACCCAAAACATTTGAAATAATTTGAATGTGTATGCATCTATTGGGTGGGTAAGGATATTTACACGTACACTGCATGTACACTGATGCACAAAAGGTCTCACATCTCACCAAATGCTGGTTCAGCAGAAAATAAATCAGGACAAGAGCTGAAAGATGTGACTGAAATTTCAAATTAGCTTGAGATAAGGTGACTCAAAAGGCAACCGTAACATAAACCTACCCCTGTCAACCTTGAAAGGGCTAGGGGAGAAATGATTTTTTCCCACATATAATCATTTGTTGATGGATTTTATTGAAAAAAAAGAGTCAGGAATTTCAAATTTGCTGTGTTGTATGCCCTTTGTATCGGCGAGGTTCGACTGGCAATTCATTACAAATATGCAGTTTCCTTTTTGCTTTCTTTCCTTTCAGCCCGCTAAAAAGGTCCAGATATTAGTTTGACTATTTTACTTTATATGCTGCAGATGAACATGTTCTGGACCTGAGTAAAGATCTTGTGTTGGGAAGTATATATTATAATGGAAGTTTGTAATTATTTTTCTCCTGATCCATGTTAGTCTGATGAATTGATTTTTTTTTTTTCAAATTGATGACAGAATAATAATTCAAAACGTAGGAATTATTTTGCAGCACAATAAATGCATTTTGTACATATCAGTTACTCACCTTAAAAATAAATGTAGGTAAATGAATGCAGGCTGTGGTGAAGTTTGTCCAAGAGACGGCAACAGCTGGTGAGTGACAGTTATATGGAGCCAGAGTCAGTTTGCAGATCCAATTTGGAGTCATAGTAAATCGGGAACCACCAAGGCAAAGGTAAATATCTCAGAATGTCACAAAGGAAAAGAAAGTGCTCAAGTTTTGCTGTGATTACCACACGAACGAGAGAAAATCTGGCGATTAACGGGGCTCCTTATTGAGCCAGCTCTAAACGAGCGCTGATGGGAAGCAGGTGTGTTGGCAGAAGCATCCAGACTTCCTGGAAATCGGCTCGGCCCCTCCCGAAACTCAGACCAGAAGTAAACCACGACAGCCAAGTGCAATCAGGACACTCTCCGCTTCACGACCACTTATCTGGGAATATGTCTTGGTTTACTAACAAACGGTGTGGTACATAAGATTTGCTTTGTCATTTTGTGTGACGTTTCAGTCTTTCCAGTGAGGTGAGGAAAGTGGGATCTGTGCTCCATGTCTCAGTTAAACAACGGATACTGAATCTCACATTCCCTATGACAACCAATGCAGCACATGATTTAAAGTTCTGCCTCCTTTTAACTTGTGCCTATTATTAGAAATTTATTTATTTATTTATTTTATTTTCCTGGCATCAGTGGACATTGTCAAATCATTGTCAAAGTAACACATTTACCGTAATGTCTTAATATTTGAGTATTGAGTAGAAGTGTCAGTCTGATACTAATTTTAGAAATGTTTTCATGATGATGCATCTTTCATGTGACTGGCAGCAGCAACATCAAATGACTTTTTTACTTTTCATCACTGATGCACTAGCTCCCAGTCCAATGAAAAACCACTCCCACCAATACATACGCATACTGCCTCGCTCTCTCTTCTCTCCCTTAAACACGCAACAACACGGAACTGCACAAAGCCTCCAGATACTTTCTATTTTGGTCATCATAATTATTTGATGATGGGGCTTCTGGTTTCCCAACCACCCTTTCGTATACACGATCTTGCTGTGAATAATTTAGCATGGAGAACTGAAAAGGTGGATCCCTTAAAACAGCAGGTACCTTTCAAACTCCAGAGGCAGGACACAGTGAGATTTTTCATTCTATCTTTAACATCCTCCTACTCCTTCCACCCCTCTCTTCAGTCAGGCTTTCTTTCATCGAGCTGTGCATCAATTTAATCTTCATTCCATCAATCTAAAGCTAGTTTTTGCCACCCTTCATTTTACCCAAAGGTAAGGAGTTTCTCAGATGGAGTGACACTTTCTCTGCATCCCCTCCTCAGTCATCCAGAATGGAGGAACTCCAGAGAAAACTGAACCAGCACTATGAAGGCAACAAGCCCAGAAAGGTGAGTTATTTATGGGACCAGCCTTTTTCCTTTATAGTTTTCCTAAGTACCTCGGAAAGGGTTTCGCTTTGAATACCGTCTGTGCTCAGAGCATTTCAGATGTCAAATTTTTACCGGGAGAGACGTAGTGTTAGTTTGTATGTTTACATGCTAATGATCCATAAATACAACCTCTACTCTAAGACAGCAAGCAGATGTAATAGTGTACTGTGACTGCTAAGGGTAAAAAAGAAAAAGAAAAGCCTCTGAACAATGCAACTGTGCATTACAGGTGAGGTTCAAACTGGCGTCATCTTACAGCGGCCGGGTATTGAAACATGTGTATGAGGACGGTCAGGAGCTGGACAGTCCAGAGGAAAAATACCCCCACAGCTTCGTCCACCGTAAAATCCCTCCCAGCCACCTTGAGTTGGAGCAGCTGTGTGGGTTTGAGGACACACAAGGGGGCCAGTCAGGTAGGTTATTTTCATCTTTATGTTATTATTATTATTATTATTATTACAGCACCCATGCACATGCTTATAACTTGGATTGAATTCATGGTTGTCAGACCTAAGAATGCAGTGTTGTGTCAGCATATATACCAAATATATATGCATTAAGGTATAATGTTAATACTAGAATATCATTTTTGCCTCAGCTCATATGTGTATAATTAGAGAAAAATTGTACCCTGCCTCTCTCCCATTGTCAGCTGGCATAGACTCAAAGGCATTGGAAAACCTAATGTATTATTGTAGTTTCTCCAGCTTTGACAACTACAATTGATAATCTAACATCAACAAACTAGCACCAATAGCATACTTTGAAATTGATCAAGTATGACTAATGGACTGCTTTGACAAATGACGGTGAACCACTAACCAATGACCTTTATTGGTTATCCTTTTGGCCAATGGGTGACACTGTCACTGTAGATTATTTCTGTTTATTTTTTAGCAGTAATGGCATTTTTCAGTATTGTATTTAGTCCTGGACACAAACTGGTTAAAGAAGGAGGGGCATTTTTCTCATCGCACATCGATGCGTCAGAATTAAAGTACACGTCTCTTTCAGAAATTTCTGGTACAGGCTCTTACTCTTTATGCTGACTGCAAGTTTCATTCCACACTCAGGTGTACCCCATCCAACAGGGCTCATTGCCCAAAGAATTAATGTGTACAGAGGACTGGCAAGTTACAAGACAGCTGCCAATAAGAGTGACGAAGCAGAGGACAGCAAGGTATGCAGTGCAACTCAACTGGATTTTGAAATGGTTAAGACAAAATTGTTTCCGAAGAGTTGGAAAGAGCTGCAACCACCATAATTCAGTGGCTGTTACATCTAAATGGGTGTTTATAGGATTGCCGCCATCTCATGAAATGACAATTTGTCAAATGTATTTGTCATTGATACAATAATGAAGCTTTATTATTGCTGACTGTAAGACTATGGTTATGGGGGATGCTATTGAGGATGACAAAGGAAAAGTCAATGCGTCCCAAAACCCATCCAACTTTGTCTGTGAATATTCTTTCTTTTTCCGGCTATACAGGCTAATTCAATCTGTTCGAATCTATTCAAAGAAGCATTGTCCTCACTTTGGCACTGACAGATTAATTCTGCCCTTGCCCTCTTTTACCTATATGCAACAACTACCACGGGTCCTGCCCCAGGTCTGAATGCTCTAATTGCCCATTCTGTCACAGGGCCTGACCCTTTTTGAACCCTCGCGTTAATTAAAGTGTTGCTCACTACCGCAGTGTTAATCACAGGACATGATCGGGAAAGGCTCAAGGCTCTTCACAAGTGCCATCCCATTCCCCGTACTCATAACAGGATTGGCTTTGCCTAATCAAACTGTACACAAAACCACTGTGTTGTTAAATAATCTGAACAAAATGCTCGGTGCATGTGTGGAGCAACAAACAAGTAAACCAGACTTAACACAGAAAATCTAGAGACTCTAATCAAAGCATCAGCTGTCTGCCACTCATGAGAATCGTAGAGTAACTCTGACTAAGTAATGTCTTTTTTTCTTGACATCAGAAAGACACTTTTGCTGAGTTCTGAGTTTCTGTGTCGGGAGCCTCATTAGTACGGCAGACTTTTTTATTTATTGAATTGGAATTCAGCAATGTAGTGCAAGTTGTGCAATCCTCTCTATTTATTTTGTATGGTATTAGATTTTTGAAGAATTTCGGTTACTTACTTATTTCCCTAGTGACATATTTGTCTCTTTTCTCTTGCTGTTATTTCCTGATTAACAAAATCTAAGACAAACAGAGTTTGATGCCAGCCATTTAAAAAAAACAAAGATTTATCCATTTTCTTTAACCAACCAAAGCCTCATTAGGCCATCATAACCAAAGATCAAATGTAAGCTGTGATTCTACTCAAAATTGAGAAATCGAATGAATGAATGAATGAATCAATCAGTCAAATCAATCAAATCAATTATACTACTTCTACTAAAAGTGTATTTTATCAAAAAACTAATTAAAAAAAGATATGCCTAAGCCTACACACACACACACACACATAAGATATAAAAGATGTTGTCTAAGTGAACAGACGCAGGATTATCCTTTTCTTTTTTTTTTTCAGTCGTCTGTATTAGACTTTGGCAAGATAATCATCTACACCAGCAATCTGCGTATCATTAGAGCACCACCAAAGAAGTCTGAAGTCATGCCGCACCCCTCGGTTGCTCCAGCAGACTCTGAGGAATATCCCAAAGCCAGGGACAGGGGGAGCAGGAGGAGGACTAAAGCTCTCCCCTCACCAGAGGGGCCGGAGAGGGAAGGGAAAAAGATCAGCCACACAGATACCGAGGTAATGATCCACGGCCAAATGGTCCCCGGTTGTGTGGTTGGGTTTTTTATCACCCCATCACCTTTCCTTATACTTTCAATCTCAGTTGTCCTTCACTCCCCCTCACTCGTTTTTCCTTCGAGATAATAATTGTTGGATCATGTGTTGATGTCTCACCCGACAGTCTCCTTTGTCTTTCCTTTTATTTGCCATCTTGCTCGTACCCTGCTCTTTTCCCGGGCCCGCAGCAATAACCACTAACCCATTGTCCTAGAGTTATCTGTCACCTGTGAACAGATACTGATGAGTCCACAGTTTTCCTCTGCCCTTGCAGCATTTGCCTGCCACTTACGGATCTGCTGGAATATCCCGCTCCCCATCATCCCCCTTCCCTTTAAACCACCCCCGGCTGATCACTGTTCTTTCCCCAAACACTTCGTCCTTTTCTCATCTCTTTTGTTATTTTCTCATTTTCTCTGCCCCTGGAAAAAAAAAGGTTAACTCATACCTCAATTTTTTTTTTTTTTTGCTCATCTAATTTTTTTCAAACTTTGCTTTGCTGAAAATCCCTTTTTTTCCTTGAAAAAAAATTCTACTTAAACTATGATTTATTGATTTTTATGAAAAAAAGTAAACTTGTGTGGAGATTCCTGTTTGAATCTCAGCCAGCTTGACTTTAAAATCAAGCTTATTTCTCTGGATGCATTTGCATTTTGCAGCCTTGAACGCATATGACTAAAAATTCTGACTAGTTCAGACTGTACCAATTTGTGGATTGTAGACAGCCAGCTGCTTGTGATGTTAAAATTGATCAAAACAAGTAAACAAAATGATCACCACTATATGTAGCTCTAATGACCCATGCTAATTTGCATTCCGTGCATAAGATAGTTCAGTAATAATTACATGCATTTACCACTCTCTACAGATCAAAGCTCTCCCTTGCTGAGAAAACCGGTGGCATCCTTTTAAATCTAATGGTTTCGTCCACGCCCTGCGACTGTCTCCCGTATTCCACACCTCTTCCCCCTTTTTATACCCTTTGTCTCACCTCGCAGTTCCTGGCCCTAATGTGTTTCTCCTGCCCTCCAGGAGGCCGCCAGCTGCCAGAGTTGTGGCGGTTCGGGCTGCGCGCCCTGCTCCCTGTGTCACGGCAGCAAGCTGTCCATGCTGGCCAACCGCTTCAACGAGTCCATCAGCGACCTGCGTTGCCAAGCCTGCTACCCCCACGGTCTGGAGAAGTGCCAGTCCTGCTCCAGTAAATAGCACCATTTGGCCGACACCCCTTGTCTGACAAGAGAAAAAAAAAAAAAGTGAGTGAGTGAGCGCGCGTGTGGCCGCGAGGCAAAGTGTGTGACCGATGTGCGATCGGGTTGTCAGAAGTGTCTCAGTGGCAATACCGCTCTAATCCGAAAATGTTCTTGGTGGGATGATTCCAGGCACTACAAGGAGACATAAGCCATCGCTGGAAAAGGGGAATCGGGACGGTGCAGCGGGTACAAAAATCATAACTTACAATTTCTGTGTGCAGTGAACGTGACTCGAGATAACACAAAATGCATAATCACCTTTTTTTTTTTTTTTAAGTTTTTTTTGCATCTTTACCCCTCTTCCTGATAAAAAAAAAAAAAAGTTCCACAACAGAGTTATCTTTTTAATTAAAAAGATACAACATTTCAAGGTTGTTTTTATCAACAGAAAAAGCTGCTCCCCATCCTATCTCGGCAGTCTATTCAGCAGAGAGAGGATGAAACCTTTATCATTTCGGTGCGATGAGACTAATTGATGCTTTCAGTCTTTTTAAAACAGAAGAAAAAGAGGTGGTATGACAGCAAGGTTAAGAAAGAAGGGAAGTCATTTGGAATACACTGAAACAGGGGTAAGAGTATTATGTGAGTTGTATTATTTGTCAACAAAAGATTTTTTTCAGATGTCATACCTAAATTGGGCGCATGGCACCACTGTCTTGATGAAACTGGTGTATCGACACAGGAATGTCGACCAATTCTAGTCGAGCAGCTTCTAAAAATAAGGTTAACAATCTTTTGAAGCCTTTATTTTCAGTCCCCAACCTATAAATGATTCAATTAAGTGTAGCCAAGGCTTTGTAGTTGTGAAAGGGGAGTTCAGTAATATAAATCATGGGATTCTGAGAGATAATCTGTGTTCTATGTTCTCCAAAATTAAATATGTGGTGGAACCGTTTTATTTAAAGTGTAAAACAAATAAATAATTGACTTGTAACAATTTGTGATCCAAATTGGATGACAGGAAAACTCCACCACGCAAAACTCTGCCCGCAGAAATGTTCACGACGTGGCGGTTTTGCTTGCCCAATCACAGGCCTTGTCAGCCCGGGGAATAGCCATTGGCTGCTCCGTGAAGGGAAACGAGTGCACGCTTTTCAGTTGCAGAGAGAATGTCGGGCGTAAATGGCTGTACCTGCAGGGAAAGCGGCAACAGCTGCCAACACAGAAAAGCATACTGCGAGACGAATGACTGATGTGATTAATCTCGTGTCAACACTGAGAAACCCTTTCACACAGAAAGTAAACTTGGTGATAACGCAGGACCCAAGGGGAGCCTTAACGAAGGGATTTCGGTTCTGCTGAAGAAAACCATTGTTTATTTGCCTTATTTCCCTTTTTTTTTCTTCCTGTTTTAATTTATCTGTCTGTTCAGCCACGAAGAATTAGGAAGCAGTTTTGGGGAAATGGATGTTAGCTTGGGAGTCTATCTCATTTTCCTAAAACTCACCTATGTGTTTTGTGATTTTTATAGATAGCCCAGCACAATAGGGTGATGTCTGTCTGTTGCACAGCCCCTGGATCTCTTACTGTTGAGAGACACAATGGGATTTTACAATTTTACTGTTACAACTGCTAATTACAAGCAGAGAAAAAAAAGGACAAGTTGAGAATAGACTGTTTTCAATAGCCAACCCAATGAATATTCAGTTCAAAGCATTTATTAAAAGCTATGATTGTCAGAATCTTTTCAGATATGTTTGAGAACAATAGGTTGGATGATCTGAAGCCTGAAAGTTCATTTTCATCACACAACCACATGGGCTACATGACGAAAGATAAATCAATTCATTTATTTATTTTTGCCAAAAGCTTTCTTCCTGCCTCATATTTAATTGATCATTTTAACATTTACCTTGTTTTTGTCCACACAGTTTGATTTCAATAAAACCCCTGAATGCTTTTTGCAGTATTTGTTTTGTCGTGTTCATGAACCATTGTTTAAAATAACCTTTTCATGGGCTATTTCACCATATCAAGTTGTTGACACTAATTTATTGTCAAATTGGTGGCAAAATGTTAGCATAGAGCCTCTCTTCAGTGTGAATTGTCACCTTCATAATCTTTGATCTGTATCCGAAAAGGCAAATCTTTGACAAGGAGGCCCGAGATTTATGTAAATGTTTGTGTTTTCACAGCTAATTACCAATGTGCTACCAGCTAGAAAACTAAATGATGCACCGCCACAAAAGCAGCATAATGCATTTTCTGGACTAATTACATCTCAGTCATTACGCCGCAAATCAAATATAATCAACCACCCTATCATGATATTTAGGGATGATTTAACAGGCAAGGAAGAACTAAATAAAACTTGGTCACCTCGATGATAAAAATGTTCCAATGCAGTAGATTCACTTTGCAACTGTATGCTCTGAGTGATCACTTTCAAACAATTATGCATTTCCTCTTTTGAAACATGTCTTTTATCCAATTGCAGGCATTGGATCTGATCATTTAAACCAAGAAGGTTTAAGCACAAGTTATTCCAAGTTATTGTTTAACTGCACATACAAGACCTGATGAAATTCCAAAACGTATTTTTAAATATTATGAACCAGGTCACTCTTGAATGGCATTTTCACCTTGATGAAGGTAAGACCATTCATGGTCCTGCAAGTACCTTGAACTTTGCAGTGTAGTTATTGTATCTAATTCAGCTTTTTTTCCCCCCTCCTTGATCAGTCTGATGAAAAATCTGTGACCAATACTGAAATAGAAGACTTTTTTTTTTTTTTTACCTCCAAGCCACCATTCTCACTTTGTATTCCACTGGGTAACTAAAGTGAAATAGAAACTGGGTCACGGACTTGTTCTTGACCTCGACTGCCTTTTAGTGGCCTACAGAAAGAGCAGGGTGTCAAAAAAAGTTGCACATCTCATGCTTTGAATTCACTAAAGAGAAGGCAGAGGCCATTTAATGCAGTGGATTAAAATAAACTTCACACGAGGCAACATCGATGTAAAAATAAAGTATCGAGCTAAGAAAGGACTTGGTCAGATTCTCTAAAAGACCAAATATTTTGCTAGTTTTTTCACAGGCAAAAATGGGATAGGTCTGTTTCCTGTGTCTGACTGCATAGCGCTGTGGTAGGTGGGTGCTGATGAGATGAGTAAGTATTGTTCTGTTCCCTGCCAATTCTCTGCACAATAATTATGCGCAGATGTACAAAGCAATGCAGGGGGAAGAGTGTCATAGCACACTATGAATATCAGCACCCTTAACGTGTCACCATCCGTCACGTTAAAGTCATCGTTGACAGCAGGTGAAGCCAGCCAGTGAACTACCAGGATGAATATTTGCTTGTTGATGACACACACGTGGATCAACTTGACTCCGATAATGCCTGAGGATAAGCTAAGATTCTGAATTTGTAAAAAACAACAGTACGGTGTTGTGGATCACACCCACGGAGCCTTTAACAATCCTGCCATTTTGTGCTTCTGCAAAACAAAACAACAGGATTCTCAGATATGAGTGCACATGTAGACAGCCATTATATTATCTGTTTATGTGAGATACTGAGGATACATCTAATTTGTTACTTTTTAATTTCTACTTCTGTACCCTGTGTAATAACAGCCCTTGTAGATGTAAAATGAATTAGAAATACAGAGGAACATTTACCCAGGAGGCAACATTATCAATTATGATACTTCATGGGTGTATCTGTGATCTCCTGCAGCACCTCTGGAATATCAGATTCATGGAACGTGGTGTTTTATGGGTTTTTTGTGGTAAATTTATTGTAAGAAAAATTAAAGCTATTAACATTTTATAAATTAGTCAAACAATAAAAATAAAAAAGGGGAAAAAAAGCACACATTACTTTTCCATGTGCTTTTCCCCCCTAGGTTGCTGCAGCAAACAACAAACCCATCTGACTTAGCTAACTGATGGTAAAATAGTGTGGCTATTATCCTTTTACTTTATCGAGTCAACCATTAACTTCCCTGACTCTTCCCAGATCTCTGTCTGCCATTTTTTCTTCAATCTGCAGAGCTAAATTAGCTCATTTATACACCAAGCACAGTACAATTCTCACAGGGATGGAAATCAAGATTGCACAAGTTGAAGTACTATCAGTGTTGAATAATCTACCTCCTCTTTGTCACTGGAAATTATACTGGAGATATGAGTAAAAATCAGTATTAGCTCTTATAATAATTAACTATGCTCTCAGCTCTCGACCCTTTGTCAGCTTAAAGACACCTGACAATGATTAGCTATGTTGTAATCAGCAAATGAGACTCGGGCTTTTCTCCTAAGGAGCGACATTAACTTTTGTTTATTCATTTATTTTTGGAAAACGCAGGGGCCAAAATGCCAAACAGGTAAGGTTAGATAGATAAGTACTGGCCGAGTTACAGCCTTGAGTGTTGAAAGACTTGCTCTCAGCATACAGATTTTGTGCTATTGCAGTCATTAATAAAACATGTCGGGCCTATCATCTTCACAACAACAGCAAAATCATTGAGTTTCTTTCATTTCTTGCCTCTACTGTTTTCACTTGTGCTGTTATGTCCTGGTAGCTTCTTATTGACTGTTTCCTAACAGAATATATGAGGCAGGTTAATAGTTATTGGTAGTTGTTTACTTATCTGGATCAAGTAGACACTGAATTGTTGTTTCTGCCACATGTTGTCCAGCTCAGACGTTCTCCAGTCAAATTTTGTCTATGTATACTGTCTTTAATTGCTGTTTGCTTAGAAGAGAGTAGCCAGATGAATCATATTCCCTTTAAAGATGAGTTCTGTGCGTTGAGATTCTTCTCTCCTCATATGATATGAGATTCTTTTGTCAGTGTGTACATTTCTAGGAACTCTCCCATCGACAAGGTGTGTTCAGCCACACATCCACTTCTCTGCTTTTCACACTATCATGTGTAACCCCCAGAGAAAAATAGCACATGAACATCTCAGGAGATGAGCGGATTGACAAATGTTCAAACCAGCCCGCCAGTCTGGCACCAACAATCACCACTGAGATCCCTTTTTCACGTGAAAACTGATGTATCGTATGTCCATTATCGGTTTAATGTAGAACTACATTGACAATTATGTTTTTTTATTTTTTTTTATAATGTACCATGTCTTCCTATGGTTTTGAATTTGTCTCTGGAGGAGGTGGAAGTTTTCACAGTCTTTTAATGCAAACTCAACTGCAAACTCAACTTATTGGAAATAGATCTGCGAATTACAATTGCCACACATTCTTAGATCATACATGAATACATCTGCGCGTTGTAGAATAAGCTCCGGGACCTTGAGGAGATTAATAAAATTGTATTATTAAATTAGTTTAAAAAGATTTTTCCTTCTTCACACATTCTAAGTTCATATGTAGCCCTTATTCAGCTCACCAGTAAAATGTTTTTTCCCTCTCCTGAATCAAAGCCTCACATCTGTACTAATTTTCTTTTATTCCATGGATGTATGTCGTTTTACTTTGATGTGCTAGAATATAAATAGATACATTTTATTAAA